GCTCTATATTATAATATTATAGCATGTCATATAGCTCCATATTATATTATATTTTAGTGTCATATAGCTCCATATTATATTATAGTATGTCATATAGCTCTATATTATATTATATTGTTATAGCATGTCATATAGCTCTATATTATATTATATTGTTATAGCATGTCATATAGCTCTATATTATATTATTATAGTATGTCATATAGTTCTATATTATATTATTATAGCATGTCATATAGCTCTATATTATATTATTATATTATTATAGTATGTCAAATAGCTCCATATTATATTATATTATTATAGTATGTCATATAGCTCCATATTATTATTATAGCATGTCTTATAGCTCCATATTATATTATTATTGTATGTCATATAGCTCCATATTATTATATTATTATAGTATGTCATATAGCTCCATATTATTATAGTATGTCATATAGCTCTATATTATAATATTATAGCATGTCATATAGCTCCATATTATATTATTATAGCATGTCATATAGCTCTATATTATATTATTATATTATTATAGTATGTCAAATAGCTCCATATTATATTATATTATTATAGTATGTCATATAGCTCCATATTATTATTATAGCATGTCTTATAGCTCCATATTATATTATTATTGTATGTCATATAGCTCCATATTATTATATTATTATAGTATGTCATATAGCTCCATATTATTATAGTATGTCATATAGCTCTATATTATATTATTATATTATTATAGTATGTCATATAGCTCCATATTATATTATAGCATGTCATATAGCTCCATATTATATTATTATAGTATGTCATATAGCTCTCTATTATATTATATTATATTATTATAGTATGTCATATAGCTCCATATTATATTATTATAGCATGTCATATAGCTCTATATTATATTATTATATTATAGTATGTCAAATAGCTCTATATTATTATATTATTATAGTAAGTCATATATCTCCATATTATATTATTATAGTATGTCATATAGCTCCATATTATATTATATTTTAGTGTCATATAGCTCCATATTATATTATAGTATGTCATATAGCTCTATATTATATTATTATACTATTATAGTATGTCATATAGCTCTATATTATATTATTATATTATTATAGTATGTCATATAGCTCCATATTATATTATTATAGTAAGTCATATAGCTCTATATTATATTATTATATTATTATAATATGTCATATTGCTCCATATTATATTATTATAGCATGTCATATAGCTCTATATTATATTATTATAGTATGTCATATAGCTCCATATTATATTATTATAGCATGTCATATAGATCCATATTATATTATATTATTATAGTATGTCATATAGCTCCATATTATATTATTATAGCATGTCATATAGCTCCATATTATTATAGCATGTCATATAGCTCCATATTATATTATTTTATTATTATAGCATGTCATATAGCTCCATATTATATTATTATAGTATGTCATATAGCTCATTATTATATTATTATAGCATGTCATATAGCTCCATATTATATTATTATAGTATGTCATATAGCTCCATATTATATTATTATAGCATGTCATATAGCTCCATATTATATTATTATATTATTATAGTATGTCATATAGCTATATATAATATTATTATAGTATGTCATATAGCTCCATATTATATTTTTTTATTATAGTATGTTATATAGCTCCAATATATATTATTATATTATTATAGCATGTCATATAGCTCTATATTATTTTATTATAACGTATATTATATTATTATATGTCATATAGCTCATTATTATATTATTATGGTATGTCATATAGCTCCATATTATATTATTATAGTATGTCATATAGCTCCATATTATATTATTTTATTATTATAATGTCATATAGCTCCATATTATATTATTATATTATGTCATATAGCTCATTATTATATTATTATAGCATGTCATATAGCTCCATATTATATTATTATAGTATGTCATATAGCTCCATATTATATTATTATAGCATGTCATATAGCTCCATATTATATTATTATATTATTATAGTATGTCATATAGCTATATATAATATTATTATAGTATGTCATATAGCTCCATATTATATTTTTATAGTATGTCATATAGCTCCATATTATATTATTACAATATGTTATACAGCTGTATATTATATTATAGTATGTCATATAGCTCTATATGATATTATAATATTATTATAGCATGCCATATAGCTCCAGTTTATATTATTATAGTATGTCATATAGCTCTTTATTATATTATTATAGTATGTCATATAGCTCCATATTATATTATTATATTATTATAGCATGTCATATAGCTCTATATTATATTATTATATTATTATAGTATGTCATATAGCTATATATAATATTATTATAGTATGTCATATAGCTCCATATTATATTATTATAGCATGTCATATAGCTCCATATTATATTATAGCATGTCATATAGCTCCATATTATATTATTATAGCATGTCATATAGCTCCATATTATATTATTATAGTATGTCATATAGCTCCATATTATATTATTATAGTATGTCATATAGCTCCATATTATATTATTATAGTATGTCATATAGCTCCATATTATATTATTATAGTATGTCATATAGCTCTATATTATATTATATTATAGCATGTCATATAGCTCCATATTATATTATTATAGCATGTCATATAGCTCTATATTATATTATTATATTATTATAGTATGTCAAATAGCTCCATATTATATTATATTATTATAGTATGTCATATAGCTCCATATTATTATTATAGCATGTCTTATAGCTCCATATTATATTATTATTGTATGTCATATAGCTCCATATTATTATATTATTATAGTATGTCATATAGCTCCATATTATTATAGTATGTCATATAGCTCTATATTATAATATTATAGCATGTCATATAGCTCCATATTATATTATTATAGCATGTCATATAGCTCTATATTATATTATTATAGTATGTCAAATAGCTCCATATTATATTATATTATTATAGTATGTCTTATAGCTCCATATTATATTATTATTGTATGTCATATAGCTCCATATTATTATATTATTATAGTATGTCATATAGCTCCATATTATTATAGTATGTCATATAGCTCTATATTATATTATTATATTATTATAGTATGTCATATAGCTCCATATTATATTATAGCATGTCATATAGCTCCATATTATATTATTATAGTATGTCATATAGCTCTCTACTATATTATTATATTATTATAGTAAGTCATATATCTCCATATTATATTATTATAGTATGTCATATAGCTCCATATTATATTATATTTTAGTGTCATATAGCTCCATATTATATTATAGTATGTCATATAGCTCTATATTATATTATTATACTATTATAGTATGTCATATAGCTCTATATTATATTATTATATTATTATAGTATGTCATATAGCTCCATATTATATTATTATAGTAAGTCATATAGCTCTATATTATATTATTATATTATTATAATATGTCATATTGCTCCATATTATATTATTATAGCATGTCATATAGCTCTATATTATATTATTATAGTATGTCATATAGCTCCATATTATATTATTATAGCATGTCATATAGATCCATATTATATTATATTATTATAGTATGTCATATAGCTCCATATTATATTATTATAGCATGTCATATAGCTCCATATTATTATAGTATGTCATATAGCTCCATATTATATTATTATAGTATGTCATATAGCTCCATATTATTATATTATTATAGTATGTCATATAGTTCCATATTATATTATATTATAGTATGTCATATAGCTCTATATTATATTATTATCGTATGTCATATAGCTCTATATTATATTATTATAGTATGTCATATAGCTCTATATTATATTATTATAGTATGTCATATAGCTCTATATTGTATTATTATAGTATGTCATATAGCTCTACATGATACTATTATAGTATTTCATTGTCACTTATTCATCCGCTTATAAAAATGTGGTTAATGACATTTACTGTGTACACAGGAAAAGTTGTGCCGAGCAGCAACCAAATCCACAGAAGGGTTAATGCTGAGCAGCAATTATGCAAATGGAAACCTGGTAACTGACTTTGGGGTCAAAGGCCGGTTACAGCCTGTCAGATCTAGAGGAGGGGTTTTTAGGCCCAGTTCTCATCCTGCTCAGTGCCCTGCCATGGTTTCCCTTGTGGTTGTCGTAGAGCGCGTTATTGATACTGGTTATTCTGGTTATTTGACTTTGGCATTGTTTTTGACTTCCCTGTTTTTTGGCATCCCTGACTCCTGGCTTCTCCTTAGCGTTGTGTCTCTTTCTGTTTCCCTCGACCTCAGCTATTCCTGACTATTCTTTAGTACGTTAGTCCGGCCATTCTAAGGTCCGGTATACGTTACCTATCACTCCTCTGTGTTACACAATTCTACGTGCTGGATCATTCTGTAATCCTGACATTACGACATGCCCATAGATCCTGTAGAATTGTGTAAGCACATAGCTGCTTGCAAAAGAAAACTAGAGGAGAATGATCACCGCTTAGATCAATTTGTCCAGGCTTTCAGTACGCTTCTTACTCGTACAGCTCATGTGCAACCTGCGGCTGCTCCTACTGTCTCACCTCCGCCTATAGTATACAAGGCACCAACTATCTCTCTATCTCCTTGTAGAGGAGTAGCAGTATAATCCACGGTATCTCCGCTGGTAGTCAGGATAAAGCAGGTAAAACACAGGCAGCGTAATACTAATCCCTCTTCCCTAAGGACTAGACGACACCTAGTCTGGGATTCAACTGTCAACTGTAATTTTATTCCACGGTCACAGTATTTATGCAAGTCCCCATGCAAGGGGTTTCTGAATGACATTGCAGAGGACTGTGTGGGGAACTTAGCCTGCAAGGCTGTTTCCCAGCATGCCTTGCTGTACAGGAGAGATAATTGTGCAAGAATGTACTGTTAATCACATTATCTCTCCATACAGCAAAATATACAGTTTTACATAAAAAACTATAACTGATATAATATTCAGACGAATGCTACACACTGCATATAAAATGAGCATAGCAACAGTTAACAAAATATTCACCCTAAGTGTCCAGAAGTGGCTAGGTTTGCCACAATGCTCCCCCCAGAACCAAGCCGGCATACACAGTCTGATCCTAATGGATCGGCTTGTGGATGTCCGGAGTACTACCCATGCAAATAGGGTTGCAGCTTTTTAAGGGCCCACACTACGCTGATCTCTAGGACACGGCTGAAGGTCCAGGTGAACAAAACCTGGAAGTAGGTATGCTAATGTTTTCCCTGTGGCCATCTGGGCGATACCAATAAGGTCTGTTCCCTGTTAACAAAATATTCACCCTAAGTGTCCAGAAGTGGATAGGTTTGCCACACTCCTCCTTTGCATTTTGTTGGTAATTTACAAGAATGTCGGGGATTCCTTAACCAAATAGAGTATCATTTTGAGGCCTCACCAGGATCTTTTCCCACAGACAGAGCTAAAATTGGTTACCTGATGAATCAATTAAAAGGTAAAGCTTTAGCTTGGGCCAATCCATGATGGGAGAGTAATAGGAGTGTGGCACACAACTACTAGGAGTTTATTACGGAATTTAAACTTATGTTTGAACCATTTGGCAGGGAGGAAAACGCCTCTACACCCTGATGCATATCAGACAAGGGAACCGGTCTATCTCGGAGTATGCCATAGAATTTCGTACCCTAGCTTCCGAGGTAGACTGGACTAATAGTGGGTTAATCTCTGCATTTCAAAAGGGACTGTCTGAAACTATGCTAGATGAGATTGCCGCCAAAGACTTACGAGTGGAAGACTGCATTTAATACCAGAAGTGGACACTATGAATATCTAGTGATGCCATTCGGGTTGTGCAACGCTCCAGCGGTTTTCCAAGATTTCATAAATGATGTACTCGGGGATTACATTTACTCGTTTGCCTTGGTCTATCTGGATGATATCCTTACTTATTCTCCTGACATTCAGACTCACCACGATCACGTTAGACAAGTTCTGCAGACCTTGTTAAAGAATCAACTTTATTGTAAATTAGAAAAATGCATCTTTGACCAATCTGAAGTACAGTTTGTGGGATATAATATCTCTGCCTTGGGGTTTCAGATGGATCCTAAAGAGCTGGAATCGGTTCTACAATGGCCTTTACCCACTGGGTTGAAAGCCATTCAAAGGTTCATTGGTTTCGCCAATTTTTACAGAAGGTTTATAAAGGGATTTTCTTCAGTAATAGCCCCCATCACCAATATGACATGCAAAGGGGTTAGCAGTACAATATGGTCTAAGGAAGATATAGAAGCCTTTGAAACTCGAAAACAGCGGTTTGCCTCCGCCAACATATTGATACATCCTGACACCACTAAACCTTTCATACTGGAAGTTGATGCATCAGATACAGGCGTAGGGGCAGTTCTCTCCCAGAGGGAGAGCCAGGATACTCCATTGCATCCTTGTGGTTACTTCTCTAGAAAGTTGTCTCCTGCCGAGCGCAATTATGATATTGGCAATAGGGAATTGTTGGCCATTATTCTAGCTGTCAAGGAGTGGCAACATATTTTAGAGGGTTCCAAGAACCCCCATTTGATCATTACTGATGACAAAAACCTGGCTTACATAGGAGCTGCTAAACGATTGTGTTCTAGACAAGCTAGGTGGTCTCTGTTCCTTTCTTGCTTTAATTTTCTTATTACTTATAGACCTGGTTCTAAAAATGTCAAGGCTGATGCCTTATCCAGACAGTTTGATACTGAGTCTATACAAGAGCAAGAAAAGTCCCATATCATTCCCCCGGAATGTATCATTGCTTCCACTATCCTTTCATTGTCCTCTCTGCTGCTTGGCTCCATCATGGAGGCTCAGTCTCAGGTGCCCTGCGATAAACCACAGGACAAATTGTTCATTCCATTGGTGGAAAGGGTTAATATCATGAAAGTGTTTCACGCCAATGTGTCTGCTGGTCCACTTCTGCTATCATGAGGTCATTCTGGTGGGATTCCCTCATGAAGGATTTTAAGGAGTATGTGCAGGCTTGTTCTGTTTGTGAGGTTTCCAAAGTACCTGATAACCTCCCTTGTGGCTTGTTACAGCCTCTTCCCGTTCCTGAGGTCCCATGGTCCCACTTGTCTATGGATCTCATTGTAAAACTTCCTAGTTCTAATGGTTATACCACTATTCTCATGGTTGTTGACCGTTTTTCTAAAATGGCTCACTTCATCCCTCTCAAGAAATTACCGTCATCTCAAGACCTGGTACTGATCTTTATATGGGAGATTGTCTGTCTGTCTGCATGGCATTCCTCACAATATCGTATCTGATAGAGGTTCTCAGTTTGTATCCCGGTTTTGGAGGGCCTTCAATAAGCAATTGGGGATTGAATTGTCTTTTTCATCCTCTTATCACCCCCAGACCAATGGTACAGCTGAGAGGGCTAACCAGTCTTTGATGTTATACTTGCGTTGTTTCCTTAATAGCACTCAAGACAATTGGTCCGAATTATTACCATGGGCCGAGTTTGCCAGGAACAATGCTGACCATGACTCCTCTGGGCATAGTCCATTTTTTGTTAATAATGGCCGGCATCCTGCTGTCCTACTAGCTATTTTTTCTGATACGGCTATTCCTGCTTTGGATGACTGTCTGGCTTTCATCCGTGATACCTGGGTTAAAGTTCAATCTGCTCTGGGTACTGCTGCTGACCGTTTCAAGCATTTTGCTGATACGAGGTGCCAACCCTGTTTACCAAGTGGGTGAGAGGGTTTGGTTATCTTCTCGTAACATCAGGCTCAAAGTCCCTAGCATGAAATTTGCTCCTAGGTTCCTTGGACCTTTTCATGTCCTTCGTAGGATCAATCCTGTTGCTTACTCTCTGGCCCTTCCGGCCTCCTTGAAAATTCCTAATACCTATCGTGTCCTTGCTCAAACCTCTTGTTTGCAATAAATATACTGTCTCAAGTGTCCATCCTCCTCCCTTAGTTGTATCTGGACAGGAAGAGTATGAGGTCTCCTCCATAATTGATTCCAGGTTTTCTCGGGGCACTTTATAGTACTTGGTGGATTGGAAAGGTTATGAACCAGCCAATCTTTCTTGGGTTCCGGCATCTGATATACATGCTGGCCGCAAGATTCGCTATTTTCACGCCAAATTTCCTCTCAAGCCTGGTCCTGCCGGCCCGGTGGGTGTTCTTCAGGTGGAGGGTAATGTCACATATTCATCCGCTTATAAAAATGTGGTTAATGACATTTACTGTCCACACAGGAAAAGTTGTGCCGAGCAGCAACCAAATCCACAGAAGGGTTAATGCTGAGCAGCAATTATGCAAATGGTAACTTGGTAACTGACTTTGGGGTCAAAGGCCGGTTACAGCCTGTCAAATCTAGAGGAGGGGTATTTAGGCCCAGTTCTCATCCTGCTCAGTGCCCTGCCGTGGTTTCCCTTGTGGTTGTCCGAGAGCGCGTTATTGATTCTGGTAATTCTGGTTATTTTACTTTGGCATTTGTTTTTTACTTCCCTGTTTTCTGGCATCACTGACTCCTTGCTTTTCCTTATCGTTTTGTCTCTTTCTGTTTCTCTCGACCTCGGCTATTCCTGACTATTCTTTGGTACGTTAGTCCGGCCATTCTAAGGTCCGGTATACGTTACCTGTCAGTCCTCTGTGTTACACAATTCTACGTGCTGGATCATTCTGTAATCCTGACAGTGATAGCTCTATATTATATTATTATAGTATGTCATATAGCTCTATATTATTATAGTATGTCACATAGCTCTATATTATATTATTATAGTATGTCATATAGCGCTATATTATATTATTATAGTATGTGTTACAGATGTGTATAATATTATTATTGTATGTGTTATAGATGTATCAAACTACAGCTGATGGAAAACATGCAGCTCTGTCCCAAAAACGGGGGTGGGGTACAGCTCCATCCCGAGCTTGTGATCCATGATAACCAACTGACTCTTATATGTAATAAATGTATTAATTACTCAGCAAAGTCTGCTCTAGCTGATTATAGTAACATAAGCCGTACAATGCTATAGATATCTAGACAGAAACATCAAATGTATTGGTTGCATGTGAAGCTGGTTTAGAAAGAAAATAAAATAATTAGCGGTCAGAAATAAATATTTGCTATGTTGCCAGAGTGGAGCTTGTCCCCTCCATGTCTTTCTTTCTGTCTTCAGCAAACGACTGGCAAGTCTTTATCTGCAACTCTTACTATATATTGTTAGGCTACAGAAAGATGTCTGTACATTGATATAGCTAGTCTCATCAATGGGAGAAATTCATGGCAGACTTGCATTTCTAAATGCATACATTACTCAATTCTATAAAAAATAAATTTTCTGTTGTGGTTATATTTTATGTGTATCATTAAACTGATATAAAACCACTGTCTCTAATTGCAATCTGTGGTTGCTTTGATTTAAAGAGGACCAGAGCATCGTGGTAAACCATGAATGACCGGAATCTGGTGACTGAGAAGATCTTGGATCTAACCTTGGAGATCATCTACCTGCTGACTGGAGAGGTGAGGGATTCTGGGTAATGTCAGTATGGAGATCATCTACCTGCTGACTGGAGAGGTGAGGGATTCTGGGTAATGTCAGTATGGAGATCATCTACCTGCTGACTGGAGAGGTGAGGGATTCTGGGTAATGTCATTATGGAGATCATCTACCTGCTGACTGGAGAGGTGAGGGATTCTGGGTAATGTCAGTATGGAGATCATCTACCTGCTGACTGGAGAGGTGAGGGATTCTGGGTGATGTCACCATGGAGATCATCTACCTGCTGACTGGAGAGGTGAGGGATTCTGGGTAATGTCAGTATGGAGATAATTTACCTGCTGACTGAAGAGGTGAGGGATTCTGGGTAATGTCAATATGGAGATCATCTACCTGCTGACTGGAAAGGTGAGGGATTCTGGGTAATGTCATTATGGAGATCATCTACCTGCTGACTGGAGAGGTGAGGGATTCTGGGTAATGTCAGTATGGAGATCATCTACCTGCTGACTGGAGAGGTGAGGGATTCTGGGTAATGTCAATATGGAGATCATCTACCTGCTGACTGGAGAGGTGAGGGATTCTGGGTAATGTCAGTATGGAGATCATCTACCTGCTGACTGGAGAGGTGAGGTATTCTGGGTAATGTCAGTATGGAGATCATCTACCTGCTGACTGGAATGGTGAGGGATTCTGGGTAATGTCAGTATGGAGATCATCTACCTGCTGGCTGGAGAGGTGAGGGATTCTGGGTAATGTCAGTATGGAGATCATCTACCTGCTGACTGGAGAGGTGAGGGATTCTGGGTAATGTCATTATGCAAATCATCTACCTGCTGACTGGAGAGGTGAGGGATTCTGGGTAATGTCAGTATGGAGATCATCTACCTGCTGACTGGAGAGGTGAGGGATTCTGGGTAATGTCAATATGGAGATCATCTACCTGCTGGCTGGAGAGGTGAGGGATTCTGGGTAATGTCATTATGGAGATCATCTACCTGCTGGCTGGAGAGGTGAGGGATTCTGGGTAATGTCATTATGGAGATCATCTACCTGCTGGCTGGAGAGGTGAGGGATTCTGGGTAATGTCAGTATGGAGATCATCTACCTGCTGGCTGGAGAGGTGAGGGATTCTGGGTAATGTCATTATGGAGATCATCTACCTGCTGACTGGAGGGGTGAGGGATTCTGGGTAATGTCAGTATGGAGATCATCTACCTGCTGACTGGAGAGGTGAGGGATTCTGGGTAATGTCAGTATGGAGATCATCTACCTGCTGGCTGGAGAGATGAGGGATTCTGGGTAATGTCACCATGGAGATCATCTACCTGCTTCTTTGTGTCCTTATGTGGGATTGCTCTATTTAGGATACCAAATCAGAGCACTGTTTAGTAAATAGCTCTCCTTCTTTGTGTCCTTGTGTGGGATTGCTCTATTTAGGATACCAAATCAGGGCACTGTTTAGTAAATAGCTCTCCTTTGTTGTGTCCTTATGTGGGATTGCTCTATTTAGGATACCAAATCAGGGCACTGTTTAGTAAATAGCTCTCCTTCTTTGTGTCCTTATGTGGGATTGCTCTATTTAGGATACCAAATCAGAGCGCTGTTTAGTAAATGGCTCTGCTTCTTTGTGTCCTTATGTGGGATTGCACTATTTAGACTACAAAATCAGAGCGCTGTGTAGTAAATAGCTCTCCTCCTTTGTGTCCTTATGTGGGATTGCTCTATTTAGGATACCAAATCAGAGCGCTGTTTAGTAAATAGCTCTCCTTCTTTGTGCCCTTATGTGGGATTGCTCTATTTAGGATACCAAATCAGAGCACTGTTTAGTAAATAGCTCACCTTTTTTGTGTCTTTATGTGGGATTGCCCTATTTAGGATACCAAATCAGGGCACTGTTTAGTAAATAGCTCTCCTTCTTTGTGTCCTTATGTGGGATTGCTCTATTTAGGATACCAAATCAGAGCGCTGTTTAGTAAATAGCTCTCCTTCTTTGTGCCCTTATGTGGGATTGCTCTATTTAGGATACCAATTCAGAGCACTGTTTAGTAAATAGCTCTCCTTCTTTGTGTCCTTATGTGGGATTGCTCTATTTAGGATACCAAATCAGGGCACTGTTTAGTAAATAGCTCTCCTTCTTTGTGTCCTTACGTTGGATTGCTCTATTTAGGATACCAAATCAGAGCACTGTTTAGTAAATAGCTCTCCTTCTTTGTGTCCTTATGTGGGATTGCTCTATTTAGGATACCAAATCAGAGCACTGTTTAGTAAATAGCTCTCCTTCTTTGTGTCCTTATGTGGGATTGCACTATTTAGGATACCAAATCAGAGCGCTGTTAAATACTGCACACATACATTGTCATTTACCACAGGCCTTGAAAAATCCATGGCACCTACATTTCACCCTGGCGTTTGGTCTTTGTCACCCTTTTAGCTAAGGCAACATTCCTCTGTGCTCCCTCGCGCTGTTTAGTGATGCTGGAAGCCGGAATATGACGTCACTCCGGCCCCGGCCTCATTGCAGAGAGCGCGCAAGGGTGAATTGAGGAACTGCAGGAAGATGATCAGAGAGGCCCCAATAAACCCCAGGAAAGATCCACTGAGCTCTTCTAAAGATAAGGAGGCTGGGTGGATTTAAATGAAAATTTTAATTTGTGAGGTTGTGAGAAATGAGTGTGTGTCTGTCCAGGTTCTTGCACCCTCCCGTTGCATGAGAGAGGTGTTTTTACTCACCTTTTTTCTCATGTCATGCTGGTTTCGCCGTGGCTGGTCCCTCCTCGATGGTTGAGATCTCCGCTGAGCCAGTGCTTTCTCATAGGAAAGCATTGAGAGGATATTGCGCATGCACTGCAAAACGCTGCGCTGTGCGAAACGGCATCACCTCATAGAGATACATTGAATCCAAGCTTCTCTATGTGGCAGCATTGACCCTTGACTTAAACATGGACGCGTATTGTCACAAATTCTGTCATTAATCCATGCGTGCACACTGTCACATTATTTAACCATGCATGCGCACAGTCACACTGTCATTTACCTATGTGTTCACAATTTTATTTGGCGATATTTGCACTGTCACATATAAATGTTAATTTACCCATATATGCACATATTCACATACACTGTCATTTTACCCATGCATGTAATTATTTGCACATACATGCAGACAGTCACACGCACTGTTGTTTACCTATGTGTGCAGTGTAGCACCCTAATTTGATATCTTTAACCCCTTCCCGACCACGGACAAGCAGGGTATGTCCGACAAAAAACGGCTGTTGATGACCGCAGACGTACCCTGCACGTCCGCGGGTAAAATTACGCGGGTACTCACCTGGACTGGCGATCCCAGTCAGGCGGGGAAACACTGGCCAAAGTTAGCGTTCATATAAATTTTTTCCACTTTTTGCACACAAACAAATATAAATGCTCACTTTGGCCAGTGTTTGTGACTAAGTGGCTATTACAAAAGACTGAACATACTCTGTTTTGAATTCCCTGGGTTGTCTACTTTTTCGAATGGTATGTCATGGTGGGATTAATTCTCATTTCTGGGCTGCCATACCGTCTCAAAAGCAACATAGCCAATCTGGCAAAAATAGAAATTGACAAATCTTATGCTTGACCCTGTAACTTTCCAAATCACCATAAAACCTATACTTGAGGGGTACTGTTGTACTCGTGAGACATTACTGGAAGTTTATGTGTAAAAAAATGCAAAATAACAAATATAAACGCTAATTTTGGCAAAGTTTTGTGTCTAAGTGGCTGCTTAGAAAGAGTGGACATACCATTTTGGATACCATGGGTTGTCTTCTTTAAAACAATAAATAATTAAATATGGTTTGATGGGGGTACATTACATTGGCCAGCTTCAAAATGTCCCAAATAGGACATGGGTGCATGAAGACCAGCTGTGAAAATTCTAAGTAAAGATTAATGGTCATTCAGTAGAGTCACAATATTATGTATATCATTCTTTGTTAGCGAAAATAGAAGCATGATCAGCTTACAAAACAGGGTATCCACCTTTTTTCATTTTATAACAGGAGAGTACAGAATGTAGAGCAGCTTAGGATAATGGGAAGTGTGTGCTGGAAATACTTGCATCGCATAAAGGAAATATTCTTCTTCTTCACATTTCTGTTTCTCAATATTAAGGATCTCATGGTTGTAAAGAAGACCAGTAATCATGACTCGCTCAGAAGCAATCCACA